ATGGAACATGGTTAATGTAGCGACATTTGAACCTGTTCTTATTACAGGCTATTATGTTCTTATTGCGAAAATGCCAACATTGTACCAAAATAAAGACTTGGCTGTTCTTCTACCCTTCTAACTTCAGAGGTGTGGATTGGTGCAGCTGGACCTCAAGTCCTTAGTCAACAGATGCTGGTGCTCTTGCTTTATGGCAGTGGAACCATACATGGCTACTTGTGAAGTTTAGTGTCTTGGGAATTGGAGCTGAGAATAAATTAATTGGCAGTGTTTATTAACGGAAAAAAGGAAGCACCCACAATACTGACTCTCTTCTTTCCGTCTAGGGTAAGAGTGTGTTTATGTAGGAGCTTGGCGAGATGGACAACACTACTCAGTGGCATCCAGCACAATCAAGCAGAAAATTCAGTGGAAATTTAGCTAAGTGGTAATTCTTTCTTTACACTTGAGTGGAAATTGCTAGTTTATGCAAGCTATTGACAGCATGATCTCAGCTTTAATTGCCATACCTCTTTATTTAGGAACTAGCACATAAATTTTCTGTAATTCAAAAAAATCTTCCTTCAGTTGTATTTTGCAAATATGTTTTGTAAAAACTGTAAATTGTTGCAGGATTCTACATATCTACTTAAAAATTTAACATTACCAAATACATCCGAAACAGGCTTTGAACCAGACCAACTCATTTATGCAGCTTTATACATTCTATATAAATGTATCTAAAAACCATCATTTGGCCTACATATGAAAAGCAGGAACTGTAGGCAAACTACTGTCCTGGAGAGTCATGAGTACAAGGATCCTGCTACTTGAAGTATATGTGTGTGATATGAAGATGTGATTTTTATGTTTTGTGAAGAGAAAGGAGAAGTATGAATATGCATCCAGTTAAACTTCTATCTGAAAAAGTTCTTTATACTTGACTAGATGAAAGTTCAGCTGCTTCAAGAGCTCTCCCATGACCTTAATCAGAGGCATGACTGCATGTTTCTGACACGTTCCTCAGGAACACGTCAAAGTCTGGCTCTGATTTTCAAGATAGTGTTGAATTAAAACCAATCATGTCAATGATGTAGCATTGCCTCTGAAGTCAGATCTCTAGGGGCACTGGTCAATAGGATCATTATCCCCTGAGTTCTGGCAGTGGATTAAAATGGTAGAGTAGAAAATAAGCAAATGTCCACCTCTGAAAAATTATGGAACATCTGATTCAGTGGCCTGGAATAGGAAATACACTGTCATGTTTTCCTTGAGCTCAAGTAAGTTTTCGCTACCATAACATCCTGGGACTCAGTCCAGAGGCAATTGACCTGTCCTTGAAAACTTGGAAGGAGTAGAGACTGTGAACCCCTGGACGTGTACATTCTAATTGCAAATGAGATGCAGTTTTAGATGTGCAATGCCATGGCTGATGATTACAGATCTGTGTTCTTATAGCTGCGCAGGAGTGTTTTGCCTATTAGCTGATACAGTGTATTTTGTTTATTGCTGACCAGTTTTTGAACTTTGCTCTTTGTTTCTGTAGCAGAAATAGGTTAGATCAATAACCTATTAATAACCTATTCAAGCTCAAAGTTCTATTCATCCTCACTCTCCAAACAAGAGGTATTTCCATTGTTCATTATTATGTGCCATTTCCATTTCAACCCCAACCTCATAAATCATAAATGAGCTTGAAGTATTCATTTCCCTCTTTCAGCGCTACCTTCATCTAGTATTTGCTGACATGCCTTGTTACAACTTATTTTATAGCACAGTCAGGCCTTGTTTTCTGAACAGATGAATTCGTTGTTGGACAGGACTCTAAAAATAGACTTTAGGGGCCACCAAAATGAGAAATTCCAGCTCATTAGGATCTCATCTGGAACAATGTGATCTGGTATAGAGAAGCTTTGAGCTGATGAAACAAAAGCAAAGACCTAGCTAATTGGTTCTAAACCTTTACATTATGAAAGGGCTATTTTTGTATTTCTGTTAAGGGTGATAGAAACCATCTGGAAAAGAGATTAAAGGCAGCATACATTGGAAAGAAAGGAGAAAAACTAGGGTAGTTAAAGAAAATATATGAAATGTATACATTGGGTAAACAAATGACTTCTGGTATCTTCTGGTATTCTGAGCTACCTTCTTCAGATAAAAATTAAAATCTTGTCAACCTCCACTATCTTGTTCATATGTAAGAGGCAGTTGTGTCTCCTCTACCAGCACTTGATGCTGAAGTGGTAAAGTTAATTTATGGGTGTGCAACTCTATTTCAATATCTCAAGTAGAATTACTAATGGAAAATGCGTGAATCCTCAAACTATCTAGTGTCATGGAAGACTGAAGGCTTACTGCCTCAGCCAGAAATATGTCCTCTGAGAACACTGACAGTAACTGTGTGCGTGTTCTGCTCTGAGTGTCTGGCATACCGTGCCTTTTGGAAGCTGGAACTCTGGTGTTGGGACATGCATGAAGACTTTGCCCTAATTCTTCCCTCAGTGGCGGGCTTCAAACGTGGTTGGATGCCAAGCTAAGTCAGTTTGTTTTGTTATCATGAAATAATATCCTAACTAATGTCTTTGCTTCCTCCTTCCTTACTGAGGAGCAAAGTACACTAGGTAGGAGAAGACGCTATGTGAGACACAGTAAGTAACTTCGAAGTAGCTGCAGACAGTTTTTCTAGGATATTTGTTCTAGATATTTATTTATTTCACTATTTTCTACAGTTCTCCCAGGACACATTAATTTTAGATTTTTTTACTGTGTACTGAAACCAGTTGAGTTCATGTGTTGCCTCTAGAACCAACAGTTTATCACAGAAATTAATGGCATTATTTTCTTAATAACTTACATGTTTAAAATTATTGTGCTTTAAATAAGAAGCCTGTGAAATATAATGTTAGTGGATTAAATATAATAATACACATCCTTAAAAAGTATATACTGTGCTCACTGTCTCTGATCTAAGCTGCCAATCACCATTAGTTCATAATTTGATGTATAGATCTTGACCTGCCTCATTAGTTACCAGTAGTCGATATTGGGCTACCATTTGACTCATCCTGTGTTTAACTGCATACTGATGGATGAGTGGACTGTTTGAGATAAAATAAGAAACTGCTTACAGATGTTGTTGTGTTGAACTAGGCCCTTTCACTTTGTGAACAAGCCTTGCTGACAAGTGTGATGCTGCACGGTCTAGGTGAAAGCACAGCTCTTTCCCAATGCATTACCAGAAGGCCTGTGTCCTTGTGAGTTGGCTGATCTCAAAGCCACACCAAAACAACTTGGTGCACATGAGACAAACACCAAGGGTAGCACTAACTATCTCTGGTCATGCAGTCGTTAACAGGGACAAGCTAGTGAGCCAATTTTAAGAAACTGTTATGTTTCATAGTCTTAAATCTTTTAGAAATGATGATTCACAACCTTTATTCATTAATGGGCATCTGATTCATAGCTGGTTACAGTGGAAATAGATTGTTATATTGTGGGATAATTGTTCATGCTCCTTTGTAAAGACTCTGCAATTATTTCTATTATTGATGTCTACTTGGAGAATTTATAGCTTGTCTGTAAAAACCTATAACCTGTTAAGCTACAGCATTAGAGCACTCTCTAGATGAAGTGATTTAAAGTGGTCATTTTTAATTTATGAAAAGGTTTTCCTTAAAGATAAAGAAAAGGTTTCAAAGCATTCACAGCCTTTTCAGTAGCATATAGAACTATAGCTTTTATTTAAAAATAAAAAATTCAATAATTTTGTGTTCATTTAGATAAATGGAAAGGTTTTGTAGTCCCACATTTCAGCTTCACACACTGATTTTCACTCTATAAAAATCAGAATATTTGGAGGTAATCAACAAATTTTACAGGAAAATAAACCCTGTAATTATTTTTATTTTCCTCAGGGAAGGGATGAAAACTCTCAATTTCTATGAAAAAGCAATTCAGAACTTCCCTCAGCACTTTTTAAAGTTAGATGACTTATTCAGGGCCAGCTTAGATGAAATGAAGTATTAATTTATGAAGTTTCACAGTCTATAACTTAAGACCAATTCAGGTTGAATCATGACAACACAATGCCATTAGTCTTTAAGGCCACGTTTGTTCCTTCTTACTTTGTGAAGAACCTTGCTGCTTGTGCCCTAATTGGGTATGAAATGTGCTGCTTCCTTCCTGCACAGCAGAAGTTTGGTTCATTCCATACGGAAAGGTTGCTCACTTCAAATCCCTTTACGAATGGTCCCTAGTAGGTAATAGTGAGGGGGTTTGTGGGGAGACTGTTGTGGGGTTTTATGTGTTAGTGCCCATTTTACTGAATTGCCTGAGAATTCCAGGGGTCCGGCATAATGCTGAGAGAGCTGAGCTGATGAGTGGCATCAGATTGTGAATGTTCTTCATCATCTCAAGCTTAGAGAAGCTGACTCAATTTGGGAAATTTTTATTCATAATAAGAAAACTGATAGTAAAAGCAAATCTGACATTTAGCACTCGTTATTCCCATAATTTGGTCCAAAATACATTGTTAACTTTCAGGTAGTCTTTGGCAAGCAGGAACTATCAGTTCTCCTTTACTGAACAAACCTCTTTTGGAGACTGTGACTGCTGAGACAGATCTTAGCAATTTTGCAGAAGTCACTCTGTTCTGAGCTGATGGAATTTATACCAATGATACTGTGAAGTAATTATCTAAGAACAGATTTGTCCTGGTCACTAGGGCAGAAAGCTTTCCCTGTTGATATGAAATGATTGTTAGAAATTACTGTTTCTTCTTAGTTGCAATGTGTCGGAAGTGGGTGAAAAAACAATGTTAAAACATGGAATTTTTGTGGGTAAAGTAAATCCATTATAAGCTTTCAGATACCGTGTCTTCAGGATGCACTTCTGTCCAAAGGCCATACAGTCAAGCTTAAAAAGTAGGTTATTCCCATCCTATTGTTGCAACCCTTAATACATAGTTACTTTAGCAGTAACTATGCCAGTAACTATGCAGTTACATCCTTCTAACTTTTTTCTTACAATCCTTTCTGCATTTCTTTTTATTTTATGTAAATACAGCTAATTGATATGAGATATTTCACCTTTCATTATTGTCTTCTGAAACAGTAATTGCTGTCAAGATGAAAGTGTTAGGAGGGTAGGAAAGAAAACAGGCTCATCTCTATTTATAAATATATATATATATGTATTTTAGGCTATCTTTTAATGTTTGTCTTTGAATTGAGGCATTGTTTTCTCTGAGGACTCTGAAATGTTTACTGAAAAAGTTAGAGGGTAACGGGAGCAGTGAGTAGAACAAGACTGTTTTCTACCACACTTTAGACTGACCAAAAAGAACTGTTCTTATGTTTGTGTCCAGCTGGAACACACAGAATGTGAAGATCCCTGGTTTTAATTTGTACTTTACAGATGCTTTGGCAGTAAGCACAGCTTTGCTCCAATACTCTTAATATCAGACACCATTTACCAACTGCTTTATTTCTGTGTTCTTTTATGGAGTGTTTCAGCTTCTTAGAGGGAGCACAACAGGATTAATGAGATAATCTTATCTTTTACAAGGTATTGGCAATGGCAAAGTAATAAGATGTACGAATAGTGCCTGTAACCTAATGTACAAATGATTTTAAACCTTAATTCTATAATAGGTTTTGGGTTGTTCTCATTATATTTAACTCAAAACTCAGTTTCAAATCAACAGGTGTCCAGAAAAAGTCAGGGAAAGGGAACAAACAGAAGATAATTTGTTTACAGTTCAGAAGGTATGTTTCAGTTAAAACCACAACTGGATGCATACAAACTTGTACTGATACAAAAAGGAACCATGTAAGTTATGGGTAGAGTCTCTAGGCTCTATGTGCTAATCAAAGGAAGAAAGCTGCACTGTCTGGGAACAAATGCATCTTTCCAGGTTTTAGCTTCAGGAAACAAGCAGGTTGCTTTGCCTCACAGCTCAGAGCATTTGGGCAAGAGAACTTGTTTGAAATGTGATGCTGAGCATTGTCTGCTTTACAGTAAAAATATCACAGCTCTTCCAGAAAAGAAGCGGTAAATCTACTACTACTGTTGAAATCTGGATGTAAGAGGAGCAGAGTTACTGTATTCAGAGATGTTTGTTACCAAGAAAAGCTAAAAATATTCTGGGTTTGCACCCTTTGCTGACAGTGTATAGGGCTTTATCTGCAGGACTTCTCTTGGCTGTTAGCAAGGGAAAACAAGGAAGGAGCCTTAATGAGAACTTTAACCAAAAATGTGTTTCTAGTGCATCTAATTTTTTTAGTACAGATTCTTTAGACTTTTATAGTACAGATACTTTCTGACTAAGGAAATACTTTAAACTGGGGAAGTTCACTGTGATTCCAGTCCTTATCTTGTGTGTTTAGAAATCTGCTAATCTGAACTGCATCCATGTCTGCTGAGAAGTCTATTTATGTCTGTTTCTGGAAAGGGAGGGTTTTTCTTCTGTGAGCTGAGAAAAGGTGAATGTCTTAAAGAGACCCCACCCACCTCTGACTGACAGCTGGTGTGCATATTACACAGATGACAAGAACTATTCAGTTCTCGGTAAACAGCCGAGCTATCTGCCTCTCACCAAATGGTAATTACACAAATGTCTGTGTCTGTCAAGTGTTCATGTTGGGATTGTAGAGCATTTGACTCAATGCTAGATGTGTACTTTATCTGGCCTGCTGTCAGCAGAGTCCTCATTTCCACCTAGCACATCAAACTGGGGATGAGAAAAGCCTCCCTAAGGATTATGTACTTGACAATTTGCATGGGACAGTGGTGCTCGCATTTGACATCAAGGTTTTTAAAAAAATCTTAGAAGTAAACCAATAACATTTCTGGATAAAAACAGTCTAATATTGTCCTATGGTCTTTATAATTGATAGTTGTTTTGATTCTTCACCTTTAAAGACTAAATTACAAGGGGATTTCAGACATTAATTATGAGTTGCCTGTAGTTTGCATAATGGCATTCCCCCTTTTTGGCATTATTTCAGGCTTGAAATGAATTCAGAACAATTCCCCTCTACCTGGTAACATGCTGTCAACTGAAAGCTGTGTGCGTTGTTCCAATATTCTTACTGCTTATCTAACTCAGGCTGAGTAATGTAATCATAAACCTTGTGTGTTTAAGATACACAGTGTTTCTAGTTAAAAACAGACAACCAAGCCAGTAGAAAAAGAAAAGAATTAAGGCTTTGACCTTTTGTTTGGGGATCAGTCTGGAAAATCCTTGGTATCACTGATCCACACAAGTGTAATGTGCAGCAGGTTATAACATCCTTTAAAGTGAGCGTGTAGGCAGGTAAGCCAATAGTAAGATGAGTAGTTGTCTGAACTGAGTTTGTTTACAAAGTATATTACTGCACATCAACGGTAGGCATTGCCTGCTGGCTATTTCGCTATGGACAGTTCTACAATTAAAGGTGTTGTGCAGTGGAATACAACACCATTCACTGAATAATATATATACTAAACAAGTGACCAGCTCTGACTCCAAAGACAGCAAACAGTTACTGGAGTGCAATGCTGCTGCTTAGTTAAAAAAACTGTTGTTGGTACCTTTGTATAGTGCTGTGTTGGTATGACTGCTTGACTTTGTTTCTGGACAGAGCTTGCTGAAGGAGGTCTGCACCACCTTTCATTTTAAGGGGAAGGCAAAAAACTGTTTCTAATGCCTCTGTTTCTTAGTACAGATTGTTTAGGGGAAGGCATCTTTTCAGCTGAGAGCATCCTTGTCCATATGGATTGATTTTTCTTTTGGAAGTGTTTGCACACAGGAGGTAGTGAAAAATGGTAAGAAGTAATATTTCCTTACCCTGGCTTAGTGGTCATACTGTAGACAAGCCTCTTAGTCACTCCTCAGTCTGTCCTAGAAGAGCTCAACAAGACAGTTTTATCATACTTAAATTTTCTAACTTTCAGATTTTATAACATTAATAAAAATGAGAGACATCTGGTGTATGATAATGCAGCTCCTTTCTGATAATGACTGCATCTCTCAGGCTCTAATACTTAGTAGTATTTTAGCTTTTTTCTAATAGGTGTCAGAATTAAAAATCACTGTTAAATTTCTAAGGTAAAGGAAGGGAACATTTTCCTATATAAAAGCAGCTAATTATTTTACTATATATTTTTCTGATGTCTGTATTCTGGTGGACAAGGTAAGTTATGACTCTTTATTAATTTTATTTGAGCCTGTTTTGTGTTGTTTTCTCAAATAAAGGAGTCTGGCAGATAAGGTACGAGAAAATGCATGTTCTTCCATGGGCTGTTTCCTGTAGTCAGACCTGGCTGTGGATACCTGAAAAAGGCAAAGAAGATATTGCTAAAGCATAGGTATATAGACATAAGCATTGTATGACAGCTTTTAGAAATAAACCTCACTTTTTTCACTTGCATCATCTAAAAGCATAGTAACTTGTCAGTCCTTTTGTTTTCTTTTGTTCTTTTCATTTTAGTGTTTATAAGGAAAGCTTTCCATGGGAGCTTGTAGTCTCTCTTGCAGCATCTGAAATGGTCAAATGCTAAAGGAGAGGGATATTATGTACAGGGGGAGAAGAACAATTTACTAGTTGGATAAACATTAATGAATAAATTCATTAGCATGCCTTAGAGAGGAAAGTCTAAGGGACTGAATTTTTACTTAATGACTAGTGGATATCAACATCAGTGAGCAACTAAGCTAGATAGGTCTGTATTCAGCTGTAGCAAGTGCTGCCCAGGCTTTGAATCTAATCTGGTCAGCTTTCAATCCTTTCAAAGTAATTGTGAAATGAATTGCCTTCAGTAGTCTTAAAAAGTGTACCTTGAGTATGCCCTGCTAAAATAGGACAAGTTGGAATCATCCTACTTGCAGGCTTAAGCAGCCTTAATGCACTGGTATTTAGGACCATATTTATTTGCAGAAGAAATAAGTCTCTATTCACAGATTTCTTGTGAAATTATCTTTTAAAATTATTTCAAATATCGATAAAGTGTCCATACACTGATTCCCCCTCCCCCCCCCCCCCCCCCCATACTTTTATTACATAGATTTGCTGTTAAGTCACATTGACGAAAAAGGGAGCAGGAGCAAGAAACTTCAATGGAAATAAAGCATTAAAAGGAGATCTGGGGATCTGTTCCATTTTTTTGTTTTGGATGATGGGCCATGGATTTGTTTTTATCTTCCCACTATTTATCTGGCCTGAATGATGCATAGGGACTTCTCTCTTTCTTCTAGTACAAGGGCTAGAGGCTGAACTGCAGGCATGAAAGAGTAGCAAACCATACCAGTAACTTGCACTACAGCTAAGTCTGAAGGCAAGATGAAAGCAAATCTTCAGTCCCATAGAACTGAAGCAGTGCTGAAATGAGACCTCATAAAACTTGGAATTTCTGACACAATTTAAAAAAGTGTTTGTTGGAAATCACCAGGTTTGGCAACAAACAGGTTTTAACAACAAAGGAACTACCGTAAGGCTGATGAGGGTCTTTGCCAGCTGAATTCATGGCCTTGGAGATTTTCAATCCTCTCTGGGTAATCTCTTACTTTTCTTAACCACCCTTGTTGTAAAGAATATTTGTCTTATGCCTTTCCCTTGTTGCAACCTGTGACTGCTGCTTTTTATGCTTTTGTGGCATTCCTTTGGATATAGTCTGTCACCGTCTTCTGTATAAGCCCCACCTTTAGACAGCAGAAGACAACTCTTAAATTCCCTTATGGCCTTCTTTTCTCCAAGCTGAACAAACTCCATTCCATCACCCTCTTCTTACACATTATGTGTTCAAGGCCCCTACCATCCTTGTGGCTCTCCACTCTACTCTCTCCAATGGAAAGAGCTGAAAGGCCCAAAACTGGACACAATATGCCAGATATGGCTCCTCACACAGCTTCTTCTCTCTCTTCAAGTTGTCCTTCCACAGTGTCTACTTGTTTCTATCTCCCTGTATTATGTTTTCCTAGGTAAAAGTTGATAGTCTGGGCCTCTATTTAGTCAGCTGCAAATGACACCATTATCATGAAAATGGTAATGATTATTTGAAAAATCCTACCAGTGATATTAAGATTTATAAGGATGGGAAAATTAAATTACCTTCCAGATTCTGTATGTACTGTGGTAAACTAGGTCTAATTTATGAAGCATTTTTTAAGCTACAGAACATTTAGTAGCAATACACATTTCCCTGAGATTTGGCTCTGACTACAATAGTAAATATCAGAAACACAATTCACTATAATGTTGATAGCAATGACAAAATTGGGTGGTGCTGCCAAAATGTTACTGTTCTGTTATGTAGTTGTACTGAATGATGTGAGGTAAAATAACAGGAGCTCTGCCTACACACTAGCTTCTGGTGCTGTTTATGGCTGGTAAAGTTGTGTTAGTGGGAAATCATGACTTGAAAAAAAAATGTTTGGATAAGGACATCTTCAATCTGCACTATGAATAAATAGCGAGCTTCTATCTGCCAGAGGGTGAATTTGGCATCTGCCGTTAGTACCACATTTTCTTATTAAAATAAATAAATATATAACTTGTCTCCAGGTCATTAAATGAGGAAATGTATCAGAGTCATCCTATGGTTACATTTCACTTCTAGTTAATTCAATTAAAATTATTTTCAGTATCAGACAACCAGACATCTTAGAACTTCTTGAAGTGACAAGTCCTTAATACCCCTGCAATGATTTGGAGGGTTATCACAGGATAACTCAGTCTCTATTTTCTAGGTCAGCTGTTCCTTTAGTGAGTACAAGTAGCCAGTAGAATAAACATATTCCCCTATCTCTAAGAAAAAACACAAGTCCTCTGACAGCACCTGAGCTATGTGCAAAAGTAGTCATGCAGGCTAAAGATCATCAAAGTTTCTCCAAGCCTCTGTGCCAAAAATAGCAAATGTTTGGTATCTTAAATCAAAGGGTTGCTATAAAAAGATGCTTCTAAGCCTGTGGAGTATCCATGTCATTCGACAGGATGGTTTATTTTTGGCATGAGCGTTGACACAGTCACTTACAATCAAGGCAGATAGAAAGTCACTGAACCGTGAGCTCTAGGAGCAACATTGCACAAAGAGCACTGTGACTCTCACGTGAGGAAAGCCAGGGAACATCACTGTCTGTGAGCTGTGTATCTTAGAGGAGAAATTACAATTATATAATACAGAACTGTATCGTTGTTGCTGTAGTCTTCTAAGATCTGTGCTTCCCAAAACAGCTCAAAGGCCCTGCATGTGGTGACCCTTTCTGTAGGCTAAAAGGGAAAGATGCTGCATTGTTTATCAGTCAGCAGCGGCTGTTTAAGTGTCAGAAGACATGTTCATTACCCAAGAGGAGAGCTGGAAGGCTCTCTGTTATCGCAGCCCTTTTTGACCCCCATACTTGAACTCTGGGACAGTTGTTTTTTTTTGATAGTTGAAGTAGAAAGCTCTGTTTCCAAAAAAAGTTGCCCACTTTTCTGCTCCTCAGTACTATTGTATTTGAGGGCTTTGCAATCTTGCCCTCAAGAACCCCTGCAAATATTTTTCAGGCACATACAAGCCAATAACTTGTTCAAGGTCGCAGAAGAAATCCCTCATGGTGCAGGATGTGAAAGCAGGTTTCCTAAGCGTGTCTGTCCTCTGCAGGACTGTCAGCGTCTGACAAAGGGTATCCTTTGGTAGAAGATTTTCTTCTGGCAGACAGGCCGAGTCAATTTATTTTACTGGACTTCTGTAGTGCAGTTGTACCCAAATGCCACCTTTTGGCCAGCACATGCTGCAAATGGCAAGATGCCATACCAGTGTGCTGGGGAAAAAGACCAAATGCTGCAAGAGAGCAGATTGCAGGCTGGCAGCTCAGACAGCAGTTCTTCCTGAGCACTGCTGCTTGCTGTGCTGCCTGCCAGAGTGTGCCTTGTAGGAAAGGACTTGTGATCCCCAGTCCCTAATTTGCACAGGTGTAGTATGAGGTAGGATCTACACCTTAGTCCTTTTCTTCTTAATTGAAATTAATGAATTATCCAGCTTCAAATTCCAATTTCTTGCTGAGGCTAAGAAATGGCAAAACCCAGCTGATGTTGTTACAACAAATTCTTGGTCTTGCATATTAGCTGTATATATTCTGCTTTCAGGATACATAGTTGAATATAGTATTTGCGAAGTTTCATGAATTAATTTTATACACATTCTTGGGATCTCAGAGAGATTTGAGTCTTCTCATTAATTTACTGAGGCTATTTTCAGCTTCTGCAGGTAGTAATAAGTAACTCTGCTCCTGCTCTTTTTTTAATCTTCATAAGTTTTTTAAAAAGACTCTTTCCTAAAATAAGGCTCTCTCTGCTCCCATGTTTTTCCACTGGATACAGCATTCTGTGTCATTCAATGCATCTTTTCAGGACGCATGGTTTGATCTGGCAGCAGAAGTTGAAGAGCCTCCTGTTGATTACACAGACTGCCTGGGGGTCCTGCAAAGATCTTCAGTGGTTGGTCATGTTCAAGTTCCACCTCACTGTTTCTGGCAACAAGCCCATCACGCACAGACATTGTTGACAGGATGGAGGCTAAGGAAAACGTCAGAAAAATGTCAAGAAATGAAGCATGTGTGTGACTTCCCTCTTTCCCGCAGATTATTAGAAGTAGAGGCATAGCTCTATGATCGAGTCCTGTCTTTCTGTAGGGTTCTGTTTCCATTTACAGCCACAATTCTATTGCTTCTGTTCCTCCAGGTTACATAAAATCCTTTTTAAACACTGGAAACATTTGCATCTGGTCCTTGCATATATTACTCTGTGCTTGCCTTGATGTTATCATCTTCAAAATTACATTAAAAGCTCAGTTTTTTTCCTTACAAAATGATTAAACAGACTAAAATATATCTTAGTAGTGTGAATACAGGCTAATTCTAGTGCAAATGTGAAGTACCTGTACCAAAGTTAGTGACTTAAATGAATTAAAAATCAATTTACTCAAAGCAAAATTAGACAAATTTTCTGTTACAGGTTGGTAACAAATCTCCTTCTGCAGAAACACTGAAAAAAAATAAGCTTAAACCCAATACCATTAATTTGCCCCTGAATTCTTGTAAAATGAAAGCCCTGCCAAGTTTCCAGGGAATGTGTTTGATAAGGACTGGGCATTGCCGTGACCTTACTAAATGCTCTCCTAGTGTGGGAATATATCTTACACACTGTGCCCAGTAAGAATAGTAACATTGCTAACTTTGCAACAGATAGCTAAAACCAGACTACTTCACACTTTGTGTAAATTATTCCAGTATCTATGTGGATGATGTGCAAAAACTAACATGTGAGACCCAAGGTTTGATTTAAAACTGAAAGGGTATGAGAAGAGAGAGCTCAGATGATGACTTGGGTAATTAAAACTGTCTAATCTGGCTCCTTTCTGATTCTAGAGTTACGCATGAAGGTTTACATTGCGATTCAGCCCATTAATGATGAATAATTGGATAGACAACTGTGGAGCTCACATCACCTTCTTTCCATGGTTTGTTGATGGAAAAATAGCACTTCAGTGGTTGAAATTCGAGTGACATGAGAAGTATAGGTGATATCACTAATGCTCTTCCACAGCACACTGGGGTCCAGAGATACCCCCCTCTCTTCTCTCCCCTCTTCCTATTTATTTTATGTTTTTAAAGAACTGAAACGCTGCAGAATCTGATACATAGGTAGAGGCCTGAATGCTGTGTTAACAAAGGCAACAGCATTATTACTTTGTTGACCTCCAGTTTCTAAGGGACTTTTGAAGGTAAGCTATTTAATTCTGGTTGAATAAACTCTGCTTTGTAACACATTAAACGCACTCCATAAAACTGCACAGTTAAGCCTAGGTATACTGCTCATTTAATCTATTTTTGAAGAAAACTTTGCAGACTTTCTCTATAGGTGTATTTTATTGTTATGTTCAATTTATAACAGGGCTTGGCAATTGTGTAGTAAACTAAAACATATATTGAAAGAGTACAGTGTGTTTTGGGATTGATTAGCTAGCCAGCACACCAGTTACCAGAGTTTAGAGTGAATCTGCTGTCTAAAATAGACTGGGACATCCAATCAATACATCCATTTTTCAAAACAGGGCAAGACTGTGAAGTCTGACAGAATGCACTGGCATGGAAGTGGTCCGTGTTGTTTGTATTTTTGAATAGTGTTAACACAAAGCTATGTATTTATTTGATGTTTCAATGAAAACCTGCTATGACTTGGTGATAATAAACTTTGTAATAGATTTATGAGTCTTCTTTGTTTAGCCATATTTTCAGAATGGCTATGACTGAGTCTGACTTTCAGAAATTCCTGTTCCATGCTTTAGGAGTGGTAACTCCTTTGAAAATTTAGAATAAACTTTGCCAGTTGGCCTATTTCAAAGCGTAAGACTACTTTAAGTTCACATGACGTATGAGCTGGGAGAAACTAAATAGATGCAGGTGTTTACAGTGTATTTGCACTCTATGTTCAATGATATATGTATTTTACTTCTATATCTGCATGGCCTTCTGCTATATTGTTTTTCTCAAATGTCTCTGAATATTTCCAGTTCCAATACTTATTTGTATTGGGAAATAATTTATTATTTGGCATTCTCAACATGAAAATTTAAGAAATTCGTAATGTTTGCATCAAAAACCAAACTTTCACTGAAAGCTTCTATCCCATGTCTGAATGGATAGAAAAATACTGTATTCTGTCACAATTTTGAGAAGAAATTGACATTAAACTGTTAGAATTCAGATATTCTTGTCATACATTCCTTCATATTTTCTAAAATACATACTCTCTGAAACATCATAAAAATTTCACTTTTCAGCCAAGTGAACTATCTACCTTGGCTTTTCAGGTTTTTTCTATGCGATTACTGTTTCGCTTTTTTAAAAGATGAAGTTAATCAAAATGATTTGGCAAACAAAATCAAATGAATTGTAACTACCCTTTATTACCATGCTGTATCTTTCCAAATTTATCCCAGCTTTTCTGCAAGATGCTCATTTTGCTAACAATGAGATTTTAAAAATATTGCTTTATGCACTCTGTGCTCTGCAGATCTAATTTTCAACTAGAGTCTGCAGTGTTCTGGGAATCCTTGCATAATCTGGAATGTGCTATAAATAGAACATGCACTCAAAGGAAAGAAAGCGTGACTTATTTTGTAACTATATGCTTGCCACAGATCCAGCTTTCATCCAAAGTCAAATTGCTCTTGTCAGGGCTGCCAAGTTGTCAGTTAGGCAGAGAAATTTCCTGCAATGTGCAAGGTGACTTTTCAGACTAAAGGGAGTGGGGGAGGAAGGAGGTTTCCCTTCTGCTGAGTAACTGGTTTCAGTCCTTTTACTAGGCTGTTTATATCTTCAGTTGAAGATACTCACCCACAGTGAGATCAGACTGACTGTTCAAGAAGGTCTATGAGACACTGAGTTATGGTCTGTATTGGGTCCCTGTTGGTACCAGCAGATCTACTACTGAAAAGAGCTGAACATTTGCAACACGGAGTAATGAGGACATAAGTGAGAAATTGTACCTTCATCCCATTTCTGTTTGCCATTCACAGCTGCTGATCTGACAGAAGAGGTGGTTAGGTCTTCCACAGGAAGAAGCCATATGGAGACCACTGCAGCCCTCTTAAGACACTAGCTCTTAACAGGAGGTGCAGCTTGCAGTAAAGGGACTTCATTCCAGGAAGAGAGAGAAAACAGCAATGCAAGAATCAGTGTCTGAGTTCAGATTTCTGTCTGGTTGATTGCTTGCTTACTTGTGTGCCAATGTTTGAAGGGCATTCTGGAGGAAGAATGTGGCTCTTACTCACTTTCTCAAATCTGTGATCTTACCATGTTTTGCGTCTTCCTTAGGTCTGTTCCTTTGAATCTTTCTGAATCCAGATGAACAACGTGATTTTGCTGTAACTATGGAAAGCTCTGAAATACATACCTATTTTGTGTCTTTCTACTCACTCTGTCTGTGAAAATCGATTCCTTCTTCTAATTGTATTCTGTGAATGCTCCTCAGTCAGGTCATCAAATAATTGCAACGACTCCATTCCCAATAAGCTGAAATGAAAAAATCAGTCTGTCTTATCCAATTTCCCCAAAACTCCAATATATCAAACTACCTAATCTTAAACACTGCAGAAATATTAATAAAATTGGAGGATGATAAAGAGATGGAAAAGCAGAAACTCATTCCTATACCCTGGATTTCTGCATATGTCACTGAAATGATTGAATTTTGAAATGGAGAAAAAGCAGATAGTGGTAATTTAGGGTTTCTGTCATCCTCATTGAATAAGGTAAAATGTTACTTTGTAGCTAAACCACTCCTACAAAACAGCCACTCTTGATGACTTAAGAAGTCATGGTGAGATCACCACAGCAGAGGGAATCCTCAAGAGCCTGAAATTCACATTGCAGCTCCAGTGGACCCCTCTTCTTTCCTGCCAGGAAAATTTTGTGTGGCTACACCACTTGTCTTAACAATTTCTATTTATAATAACCCTCTTGGGTTTACTGACAGTTGGCATTACTGAAAGCAAACTTTACCCTACTGCACCCTGTGCTTGGGTGCACTTGGGCAATGTCCAACTCCAGAGTGAAGACCTTTTCTGTAAAGCTGCTCAGATGTGAGCCAGACTACAGTGACATTCTCGAATGATGTTACAAGATACGGGTAAACTCTATTAAGTATGTTTGGGAACAGTTTCCAGACACATGGTTCCGACTAGGAAGAATTTTGGTATTTTTCACAGCTTGGTGTTGTTTTGATCATGTGCACAGAGAATCAGCCACCAATTTCAAATGAAATCCCACCTCTAGAAGGAAGACCTTGTGTGTAAATCACCATTCTAAGCTACTAGGAAAGAGTCACTGTAGTGAAAGATGGAAAAGTTTGTCTCTAAATTGAGCATGATTTACAGTTTAAAATAAGAAATCAGTGAAATACTTGATGACTTTGAAGGTTTGGAAACCCCAAGAAACATTTGTTGAGCCATTATTAGGACTGTCAGCCCTGTTCTTTAAATCTAGCCTGTTCAAATCAGGAAATCCTAGTGGTCTTGCATTATCCCATTCTGTGTGGTCATAAAGTTAGCATAAAATATAACCTCAAACAAGCTATGTTATTGGAACTTCTTATTTTTCTTTTCTTACTAATTCTAGTAATTTTCTGCCACTTACATTAAAAAAAAATAAATTAAATCAGATGGGGACTCTGGAGTCAGAAACTTTTCTTCTTTTGCTTTTGGTAAGTGACTAGGAAGATTACTCTGTTTCTTAGTCATTGGTATGCTTTGAATTTGATCCAAAGTAACAAGGAGGAAAAATGTTGAGGTGTTCTAATAATCGAATTTGTGGTTCCAACTAAACTTTGAAAAGAGGATTATCTGAATTGCAGAGGAGCTTTAATGTTTTCAGTTCCCTTCACTGTTCTGAAACCTCATATATGGTAGCACTTCACACAGCTGGACCTTTCCAGTGAATCTTCTTTGATGAGCTCATGCCCTCTCAGAAGTATCACAGCCTCTTTGGGAGGCAGGAAAACATTCCCATTGTACAAAAAGGTCAGGCTGAGGTACCGAGAAGGGAAATTCCCTGGTTGTGCGCAGTAAGCCTCAGCTGCCTGGACTTCCATTCTACCTACAAAACATACCTGAAACAAAACTGGAAAGGCTTGTGAGAGCCCCTGGCATACTGTATATTGCATTGAATCACGTAATGAAAAATGACTTCCTGTGAGGTTGAAGAGAAGGAATATGATATTAATGCGCAGCTTGGGTCATTCAGGGGATTAGAAAAAGTAAGTCATAAAACTGTTTAAGGAGAGATAAGAACAAAGTCTGTTTGAACTTATGAAAGTAAGATACCAGGTAGGACACAAATGCTAACTGTAGGAGACATTTTTGAGGAGTCCAGTAAAAATAGCAGACAACAGGCGCTTGTTTGAGACTTGATAGTGTCAGGTACTATTCATTTTTTATATCTAACCAAACATTTTCTGGGGACTTTTAATCTGTTTTCTCACCTTTTACCAAGGAAAGGTAGAAAAGAAAAAAAGAACATGAGCTGGATCCAGAAAATCTTCACCAGGCCTTCCCACGGTACACACTGAACTTTTCCCTTCCATCTGTCTTTAGTTGGTGCCTCTGGAAAATCTACAGACAGCAGAAACATCTTACACTCAGAAGGTCACTGTCTCTGGAATCTGTTAGGCAAGGTGGTAAAAATGCTGTCTTTGAGGACAGTGACTTAAATCACTGGATAACCTCAGCCAAGGAAAGAAATGAGGCTACTGATGCTCTCCCAGATTTGCCTTCTGAGAGGAGGAATCAGATGAAGTGCTTGAACTCCACTGAGCACAGAGAAGTTCTAATCACAGCAGGTTTTGTCCATTCAGAATGTAGTTCCCATAATCAAACACCCAGTAAATAAGTAAGTAAATAAATACATAAAATGGTTAGAACTACTCCCTTAGCCTGTTTCCTGTGCTCTCTGCCCACATCCCTGCTTTTTCCTTGTCTTCACAGACACTCTGAAGTTACTTCTGTTTTATGTTTGTTTAGAACTCCATGCTAAAGCAGATTCTTATATTCTGATGGTACAGAAGATTTATGCTTACAAGTCATTGGTATAAATATCACTAACTTCTGAAAAGCAGTCCCAGATTTATTCTGGGAAACAACTTTCTCCTAAAAGCACATTTCTTTAATGCTGACAATAATTTTCTTTATATCTTACCTTCTTATGAAAATGAGATGTACACCATCATCTTATTAGCAATTACACAGTCTTATGTCCCTGACAATGTTTTAAAACCCCTGGGATAATTTTAGCCAAATTTGACAAAACAAAACAAAACAAAACAAAACAACCAAAACCAACCAACCAAAAAAAGTCTAATTCATTATTAAGTTTCAATAAAACTGAAGCCTGTATAGAAGAGAAAATCTGCGCTAGAGCCCATCACTGAGGGAAGCAGAGGTGCACACACTCTGTGTCGCAGAGGCCAGCTAACCAATCTACAGGCAAGTGCTGTCTGAGGATGTTTCAGACATGCAGGGAGAGAAACTGTTAATACACTGATGTGTATTTGTAAGTATTTGTGGAGATGAAGAACACAAATTGATAGAAAGCAGGCCTCTCATTATTTCCAGTGCTCACAGAAGAACTTGTCTTTGATCAGCAGAGTCTTATGAAGTTTGGAGACCTGGAAAGATGCTGGAATTCTTCCCTAGTGTTGTGCTTTGACTTTTAGCAATAAATTAATATGGTCAAACAATAAAATGAAAAGCTGCTTTTGAAACTTTGACCCCAAAGTTCATCCTTAGTAATTTAGGTTTTACTTGAGCAAGGCACATACATGTATCCCGAAGTAAAACAAGCAGTAAACAATTGTTTAAGTACCTTGCTGAACTATATCCAAACATCATAAAAAGGCACACATAATATTCTTCACTAAAAAATAATTAACCTACTAAACGACTGTAATCTTGATTCAAGTACCTTTACAGTAACAGTTTTTTAAGGCCTTGGTAGAAAAACTGAAGTCCTTTTAACTCATATAAAGCTGTACTCTTGAAAGAAGCCAATATCTTGACTTGACTTGGAATATTGGAAGTGTGATTCCCAAAATAGCATATGGCTGACAACAGGCTGTTATCTAAGTAGAACATACACTTTTCCATTTTATCCTGTGTATAATATTAAATGTGGTCAGTTGGTTGCTGTAACCACAAGAGAGATTTCCCACATGAAGCAGAAATGGACACTAAAAATTAATCAGTGCTAAAAGAGATAAGGGTTAATCAAGATTACTGAAACTAAGTCTCTCTTTTTAATGTTATTGTACCCAGCTTTGGAAGATCTCATCACATTCATTGTACACTGAGTATTTTTGTATTTTGCTGACAGTCTTTAGCAATGGTGTGCTCTTTATCAGTTCTGGCTGTACACATAGTAGTTCACTCAGGTTGTATTGGTAACAGGGCCCAAGCCGAAGTGAATTTCTTACTTTAGTATTAGTATTTAGTATTTAGTATTAGTATTTAGTATTTAGTATTTAGTATTATTGCTAGGAAGCTATTGTTTTATTCAGAATTACTGCTTGGCTAGTATAAAGAAAGAAAAGCCAGATCCTTGATTAGTAACCCAGTATTTCCTCCAGTTGTCTCTGCTTAGACCCATGAGCAGATCATAAACTACCCTTTTTTTTTTTTATTTTTCGCAAGAATTTGGGTTTAACAGAAATCTCTAATGCACATGAGAAGTCAAAACCAAAATCCTGTGTGTTTTAACAGTCTTGATAGGACAAGAGGTAATGGGTTCAAACTTAAACGGGAAGTTTAGGTTAGATATAAGGAAGAAGTTCTTTACTGTGAGGGTGGTGAGGCACTGGAATGGGTTGCCCAAAGAAGTTGTGAATGCTCCATCCCTGGCAGTGTTCAAGGCCAGGTTGGACAGAGCCTTGGGTGACAATGGTTTAGTGTGAGGTGTCTCTGACCATGGCAGGGGATTGGAACTTGATGATCTTAAGGTCCTTTCCAACCCAAACCATTCTATGATTCTATGATTTGTACATTGTTTTTTCTCATCAACTCTTACTTGACTTTCATATGATATGTTCTACTCTCATAATTTGGAGGGAGTGTATGAAAAATGGCCAGGTACATTAAATTATCAGTGATATTTGTAATGTGCCTGTCTACTATCATGTAGCAGAAGGCAGCTATGAACTAGGTAAGGCAAAATGTGAGTAATAGGGGAGCAATCACTTACTTGTGCATGCATGTGACTTTCAGACAAGGTGAAAGTCACAGAGCTGCAGAATGCACACAGAAAAAGGTTTTCAGATTGAGTGAATCAATTGCCCATAATTTACAGATTGCGTTATTACTTGGAAACATTAATATTTCAGTGTTAAACACTGTAACAAACCCCACTGAAAGCTTGGTTACTCTATTTGAGGAGCTTTAAAACAGACTTAAATGAGATGCACTTTCAGTAAATTCTCCTGAAATGAGCAACATGCATTTCAGTGAAGTGGGAGTCACTTCCTGAACTTTTCCTTATTTCTTTCAGCTTCCTGAAAAATATATCTTCTATGGGCTGATATACATTTGGAATACTTAGGGAGGGAATCCCTGGTGATATCACTGTACACACAGGTGCTGTGGCTTGAGCCAGCCGGTAACTCAGAACCATGCAGCTGCTCGCTCACTTCCCTTCCCTTCTTTCCCCTTGCTCCTGGAGGGGTGGGGAGGAGAATGGGAAGAATGTAACTCGCAGGGGTTGAGATCAGAACAGTCTGGAAACTAAGGTATAACACAAACCACTGCTGCTGCCACCAATAATAATAATGAGACAGGAAATAACAAGGGGAGAAAATAAAAAACTATAAGGGGAAAAGGAAATCAGTAAGCAGAAGTGATGCACAATACAACTGTTCACCACCTGCCAACCAATACCCAGAGCAGTGAGCTGGGCCTTCTGTGTGACTCCCCCCAGTTTCTGTACTGAGCATGACGTGCTGTGGCACGGAATACCCCATTGGCTACTCTGGGTCAGGTGTCCTGTCTCTGCTTTCTCCCGGCATCTTGTCCCCTCCTCCCTGGCACAGCATGAGAGACTGAAAAGTCCTTGATTGGGGTACGCATCGCTTAGCAACAACTAAAACCATCAGTGTGTTATCAGTGTTGTTCTCAGACTGAAGTTGAAAACACAGCATTGCACCAGCTACTAGGAAGGAGAAAAATAACCGTTACAGCTGAACCCAGGACAACAGACACTAAATGCAGCCTCAGACACCTCATTGCTTTCAATGTAATTGAAATTCTCCACAGAGTATTTAGTGAGAAAATCTAGATTAATAGGCAATTTATGAGGTTATCAGATATGGTCATAGAATCATAGAAAAGTTTGTGTTGGAACGGACCTTAAGATCATCTACATCCACCCCCCCCCAGCCAGGGACTCCTCACACTAGATCATTTCACCCAAGGCTCTGTCCAACCTGCCAGGGATGGAGCATTTACCACTTCTTTGGGCAACCTGTTCCAGTGCACCACCCTCACAATAAAGAACTTCTTCCTTATATCTAACCTAAACTTCCTCTGTTTAAGTCTGAACCCCTTGATGATAAACATATAGTAAGCACATAAATAGACTATTTTATAATTAACAGAGTTCTGGTTTTCTGAAAGATTGCTTTGAAAAATAAAACCAGAAAGTGTTTACTTTGTTAAATCAATGTTTCTTGATGTATAGAACAATTTCATATTGGAAATGAAAGAATTATTAAGTTGCTATATGGTGCATTTACAGACATGTCACTGTCTTTATTGCACATTCCTGATAAGAAAGAGCAAAAGAAATAATTTTAGGTTAAATTCAAGAAGGTATCTAACACAGAGAGAGCTTTTTGAGGGATATTGTACTAGCATGAACCTTTTCAACTTTTTTTTTTTTTTCTGGTATTATTAAGAAGTGAAGTTTTCAAGGAATATTCTGTGCATCTGCAACACTGCTTTTATCTGTTTTGCATAATATAAGGGGAAATTGTCAGCTTTGACTTCAGGGAAAAGCTCTGCCACTTGAGGCTTGATCCATTTATGAGATTATTAGTTCAAGGAGAGTATGTTTCAAGTAAACTCACAACATAAACAGAAATGTTGCAGTGTTTCCTTTCTTGCCTAAATAACAAGGGGTTATTGCTTTAAAACATTTATACGACTTGTTCTTTTTGTCTGTTTAAATTCACAACATATTAACATCCAAGTATCTTTACAAGCAGCTCCATTGGGTTTATGTCCACTTTGTTGCGTTATGAAGGGTAATTTATGTTTTTACAATTAATATATTGGATAATTCTTCTCCATTATCCTGAAATAAGATAAAGATTGTAATGAAAGATAACACATTTTAAATAAAGCCATTAGGAAGAGATTTTGTCTTTAACAGAACATTAAGTGTTAAGAATGGTAGATGGGTGAAACTTCGTAGTTTAAACTGCATTGAAATGAGATGCTAAAATTGTCTGGAGGGAGGTAAGAAATAGCTTTCAATGTTTCTTGTGAAAGCACAGAGAATGCACTCAGCGGCCATGGCAGATCAATGCTATTCTTTCTAGGGTGGTCCAACAACACCATCTAGACCAAACTCATTGACCATGCCAATGATCAGCCCACAAGCATGGCATGACTGTCAGGCACCCTCTGAATTACACAGGGGCATGACTTATTCAAGTATGCCCAGCAGCTTAACAAGGCTGGTAGGCTGTCTGGCATGCCTGGCCCTGCAGTAGCATGCAGATCTACTCTTCTTGAGTTTCACTATTATCATTGGGAAGCTTTTCTAATATCTAACCTGAACTTTTTTTTGGTTCTTATCCTGTCCATCCTGGGCAGGATTTCACTGCTTTTCCAGTTTTCAATGCAAGCCCATTTTGTTCATTCTTGCATAGAAACTAAAAGAAGCCTCATGTGGCCCTCTGAATTTTCTTAATCTCAGCAACAGCATTTTTGAAGAATGGCCTCAAAACTGAGGCCCCAAATGTATTCCAGCCAAAGTTGCACCACTGCAGAATAAAAGGATGCTTTATGTATGTCTTTTAGACTACATTTTCATTTAAACCTCTCAGTGTCTTATCTTCCATTTTTTGTGACTGCATTAACAGTGTTGACTCATGTCCAACTTCTGAGTCACTTAGACTCCCAGGTTCAGCATTCATGTTTCCTTATCATTTATTCCCCATCTTTTATTTCTGCAGTTGGCTATTTCTGTTTAGAACATTATAGCACTTACCCCATCGACCTGTATGTCTTTTCCGACGGCTTTCCAAATTTGTACTACGCATTTTCAGACTCTCCCGGCTTGCTAGCATCTGCAAATTTAATAAGCACAGTCTCTATTCTGTCTTCCAAGACACTGCTGAGAACAGTGAGCAGCACTTGTGCAGGACAGACTACTGCAGAATCCGGCAAGGCAAGTCCTTCAGTTTTCATGAGCAATCATTGATGATTGCAATCTCAATATAGTTTCCAAGGAGCCCTGCACCCTTCCTACAGCAGTTTCATCCAGAGGACACTTCCTTCTGTGTATGTTACATATGAGACAACAGCCAAGGCTTTACTGGACGTGAGATATTTGACTCCTACTGCTTCTTCAGAGGGCCAGTTACCTTCAACAGAATGGAATTAGATTGACTTGACAGAATTTGTTCTCAATAAATATGTCTGTGAATCTTTGGGGTTTCCAATGTGCTCTTACATAATGTTTTGGAAAATACTTCAGTATTTTTCCAGGAATTTTAATAAAGAGCTGTGCTTCGTAATTTCCCAGATGCTACCTGCTTCACTTTTTCTTAGAATAGGCACTACATTTCTTTTTCCTTTTTCATTTTGTACCTTTGTGTACCATTTTTTTAAAAAAGAGCTATTATGAGCTGCAGAACTGCTTCAGTTACTTTTTTCAAATATCCTAGGGTGACAAGTTCACCCAGCCCAGTTAATATGAAAACTCCCTAATCTGTATTTTATTTCTTCTAGGTCAAGATCTTATCTATCCCTTGCTGGTACTAATTATGTTAGGCTCATGCTATTGTCACTGATCTTTTTTAAAAGGGTGATGAAAAAAAGATAATAAACACTTCAGTCTTCTCCAGAACTGCCATTTGTTGATCTCTTCCAAGAAAAGTACTTGAAAAGTACTAAGCCTTCCCTTAGATTTTTATTTTTCTTTTAAAAACAGCGTGTGGTTATACTGCCAAACACTGATACAAAAACCATCTCCTATTCCGGAAGATTCTGTTCTGGAAAATGTTTCTATTGCTGTCGTCCAGATTTCTTACAATACAGATATAGGAAGCATTTCCTTTTGTCCTACAGAGCTGAAGCAATAATGTTTTGAAAATCTCTTTGGCCCATCCTAACAAAGCTCATTCAAGATGAAAAAGTAATATAATTTTGAAAAAGCGGCTGTATATTAAGCTACAGATACTTAATTGTGTAGACCTCAGGTTACAGACAAACAATTTTTCAGAGAAAATAAGCAATCAGAAATTAGGACATTATCTTTACGGAGATCATGAATTTAATCACAGGATTGCTCACAAGAACACAGATGCTCAAGTAAGAGTCACGTGGAGGATGGAAACATACCCATCACTAGGCGAATAGCATCCTTAATTGCTGTCCTTACTTAGAGGCAAAATTGAACCAGTGGAGAGAATTACAATTTACTTCTGTTTATAGTGTGAGCAAATCTGGATAATTTTTTAGCTATTTTAAACAAGATAAGCTCCTACGAGAATATATCCTAGGAGATTAATACTATATTCTCCTATATATTGCAGAATAGAAACTGCAATTATATTCTATCTGGGGCAGGGAATGACTCATTTAGATCTATGTCCCTTGATTTTTACATGTATGTAGCATTATGGAATTAGTACATGAGTGATCAAAAAAGCTTTAGCTTTGCTTAGACAACCCCCCTTATAACTGCAAACCAGTACAACAGAAATGGTGCATTATAACGCAGCCTGAGACACTGCTTATTTCTATTGAGTCTTACCCAACTCATTATGAAGTCTTATGGGAATAGATGACCAAGTTATCAAATGATAGCCCTTTATCAGATATCCCATGAGAGCTTCAACCTGTGTGGAATTGTGACTGGCCTTGAAGGATTTGTGTAACAAATCTATTCCTGAAGTTTAATTGCTTGTTTTCAGGAGTTGACTTCAAAATCCAGTGCTATAGGAGAATTTGGAAGAGCAAGCAGAAGAGATCTGAAGACCTGCATGCTGACAGAAAGCTGTGTGCTGATTTCTAGGGAAGTAGTGGATACAAGCTGCATCTTACACTCTGAGTTGCAAGAAATTTTATTCTCTATACTCAGGAGGATCTTCTGTCCATTCAGATTCTACGGCTTTGATTTCTCTTCCAAATGATGCCACTTTTGCCCATTCACTCACAGAGCAGAGTAGGCCTTCCTTTTTTATCTTGAGAGGTTCCTTCAGAGGAAATGTATTGGTGGTATCTCCTTTTCTGGTAAAGGCAGTTGCTCAGGAAATGAGTGTTATTCATCCTTTTTGCTTAAAATATGTCAGAGTTAAAGAGCTGAAGACTGATTTCCATATTCTCTATGCTACAGAGTTCTTCTATCTTTATGACTCTATCAGAAAAGCAAGGAAAATTATAACTAAAAATGTCAGGCATCTCCAGATGGTTAAAAAAATTCAAAATCACTGTTTTGGAGCTGGCTTTCAAATTAAGCCTAAGTCTTATTTTAGGTACCAAAGGCCTGGATCCTCAGAAATTCATCTTCCTAAAACCCATCTGACTTCACTGAGAGTTAAGTGCCGCAAATACTCTGATACTAAAATACTCAAATACTAAAATACTCTCATAAATCCAGGCAAATGAAGTCTTTGATTTGCTCTATCCCTCAGTTTGAACAAAAGATACTTGGCATTTTGCTAGATCACTCCTGGAGTGGCAAGAAATATGTGCTTTGTCTTCCCTATTTGATTACCTATTACAATTTTTCTTCAGTTATATGAGTTACATGTTCTTCAGTTATAGGAGAATACCCTGCATCTGGAACTTGACTGTTTCAGTGTACGGGGAATAGCTGAGGTTACTGGTTCCCTTCTGAGTTGTTTATGTGCTCTTCCTTTGTCTTTGCTGTTGGGCAAATGCTAAAAATAAGAATTTGCTTATCTAATTTGTATGGATCTTCACAGTGTATGTGATTTCACTGTCTCCTTTCCCCTCAAGCAGTGGACAGATTTTCCAGACCTTATGACTATGGACTATGCATTCATTGCTGTCATAAGTCAAAGGATTCTTCTTTTCAGCACTGACATGCCAATTTAAGATACACCCAAGTTTTCCATAAGGAATAGTTAGAGATAACAGTTTCTGTTTGTTCCATTTGGGCTCTGGATTTACTAACTCCAATCTGAGTACATTTATTTCCAGTCCTGGAAATCTAGTTAACACCTTGTAAATTGTTTACTGCTAGCATGCCTAAATATGTGCTTTTACCTATGAACTGATCTTTATTTAGATTAGATAGGTAAATTATATTTTGTGTCAGATTAATAGCTTGTATGACTGAAGAATAATCAGGGTAAGCTTCCCTTTGTTGTCAGGCCCTATGCTAAAAGCTTCACTAGAGATGGCATTTTGGAGAAAGATCACGTTATTCTGCCTTCAAGCCTGTCCTGTCACTTACCTTATCTGTGTATCTGCTCTTATTAACTCAGATCAGCAAAAAAAGTTGCATACCCTTAGAAGCTTACAGATGGTAGGAGGGATGAAAAATGCACTTTCTCCTCTTTCTGTACACATCATTCTTTTTTTGAAGTTTAACTGAGGAATGACAACAGAGCAGTTATGTTTTGCTAACTTGAAACGTCTTGTAGACGTGTAGAGCCAGCAAGCACAGCAAAGCAGAGCAACAGGAGTGATCAGGTTGCAGTGGTGGCTTGCAAGGGGCACAGGGCTGTGATGGTCAGGGCCAAAAAAGAGAAAGAAATTCCTTCTGAACATAATAAAGTCATCTGGGGGACCAGCCAAGGACAAAAGATATGGGCTACACAAGAGAAATAAACTGTGATATGTAAGAGAAAATAATCAGGGCTGAGGGAAAAAAAGGAAGGTCCTGGAAGACCCTAACTTAAACCCAAATAAACAAAAAACCCACAAAACAACAGTGATAGTGCAAGTATTTTGCATTTTTTTAGAACTGTATTGTTAAGTGACTTAACAAGCATATGTGTCGACCTATTTACTTACATGATTATGTTCTCTCATGGTTGGAATTTTGCCTCTGGAGGAGCAGAACTGACACTGTGTTTAAATAACAAGGTTTTGCTCAGCAAATGCACTACAGATGTCATGAACATCTCCATGCACAAATACGTACCTGGAGCCTACCTGAGCCAAAAGGAATTTAAGAGCATAGGAGCTTAATATACAGGGGACCAGTTTAGCATATAGTTTAGTAACCAGCTGGCAAAACTTTTAGTTTGAGAGCAGATAGACCTTTATCCACATTCTGACCCCAGCTGCACCACCAGTATGAATGCAAGTTAATTAACTTGTATGAATACAAGTTAATTTCCAGCTCTGTTTGAATTTGCCCAGTAAATACATTGCCCCTGAAAACTCAATTTGATCCTTCCTGTGCAACCTCAGTTTTATTATGGGACAGGTCAGGTTCCTTGAGGGAATAATGAAACATCTAAGACATCTGGCAAATCTCCTCTCTGACAATGATACAGTGGTAAAATAGGTCAGTGCAGTTTAGGGTTGCTTTTGAAGCTAAGTGATAGGAGACTTTTCTAATACAGGAGGCTGAATCCTAGGGACAGTGAGATTAGTTTTTACAGGGAAGATGTAGAAAGATATAAAAGAGCTCTGAAAAAAAGAAATTCAAGAGGTTTTAAGGCTGCAAAACCAGACAAGATTAAACTAATTAAATACTTCTAAGTAATTCAATACAGCATTGGCTGTTATTTACAAGTGCTTGAAAGGTAGTACAATTCCAATGAATCAGTATAGTACAGTATATAGAATCATAGAATGGTTTGGATTGGAAAGGACCTTAAGATCATATAGTACTAACCTCTCTGCCACAGGCAGGGACTCTCAACTATACCATGTCAGCCAAGGCTCTGTCCAACCTGGCCTTGAACCTGCAGCGTTGGAGCATTTACCACTTCTTTGGGCAACCTGTTCCAGTGCCGCACCACTCTCACAGTAAAGAACTTCTTCCTTATAGCTATCCTGAACTTCTCCTGTTCCATTATGAACCCATTACTTCTTGTCCTACCACTAGTCCCTCCCCAGCATCCCTGTAGGCCCCCTTCAGATACCAAAAGGCTGCTCTGAGGTCTCCACGCAGCCTTCTCTTCTCCAGGCTGACCAGCCCAATTTTCTCAGCCTATCTTCATACAGGAGGTGCTCCAGCCCCCTGATCCTCCTCGTGGTCTCCTCTGGACTTGCTCTGACAGCTCCATGTCTTTCTTATATTAAGGATACCAGAACTGCACACAGTACTCCAGGTAGGGTCTCACAAGGCAGGATCACCTCCTTCGGCCTGCTATACATGTAGGATGTGTATTAGCATAGTATACAACAGACAAGCTTACACACTTCTTCTGGACGCATGAGTATACTTAAATGTAGTAATGAAAAAAATTAAAAGCAAAGGAGGGTTTGGTTTTTTTTTTAAGATTAAAACTAAGTATCCTGTCCTGAGAGTAACATTTGGAGTTGTTTGCAAACAGATACAGCTTTAAGTATTAAAAACATGGTAGATAAAACACCATTCTTAGCAACATGAGTTTTTCTTTTTAGGTAAAGAATTCTGGTTCCAGCAAAGCAAACTTAGGAGCAACTTTTGAAGCCATCTGAAATTACCCATAGCTTACAAGAATAATTTCTGAAGGTGCATATGTCTAACGGAAGTATGTAGCCTATTTGCATGGCACACTCAGATATTTAAAAAAAAAATCTGTTTAATGAAAGACTACAAGAAAAATAACAAGTAGCTGGAATTAGGTCAAGGCCTACAACAGAATATTTAATTTGGCTTCAATGAAGGGGCCTGGATTTATCATTTGCTGTTAATCTGGGCACTCTGTTTGTCCTTATTTATCTTCCCTTCAGAGCTACTGAGAAGAGCTTCAGAAATGCATTTCAGCACATTGTGGAAACAGCCTCTGCTCACAGCTAGTAATGAAGAAATAATGTAATTAATTGCTGTTATGTAATGACACTTGGTAAATTAATGTGGACTGCTACACAGTAAATAAAAACTAGTGCTATTTCTGGAATACCACTTAGAAACATCTTGACCAAAGGCCTGGAGCATCCAAACATTTGACTGATAATTTTTTACACAGAAAACATTGACTGTTGGCTAAAGGTGTTGTAAGGGGGACTCTAGAGATTAAGAGCTCCTGTATCACTGCTGAGTAAGGACAGCACAGCCTGTGTACTTCACCCAGCTGCCTCTGTCACAGTCCTGCAGCTCCTTAGTTCCTGTCATCTCTGCTAAGCTGGCAGTGGCATTCAGTTAATTCCATCAGCTCCTGGGGACGAAGTGATGTGGTTTAAAACAAAGCCACATGGTGTGCTGCATAGGGAAGCATAAAGTACAAAATGCTACTTTCTACTGACACACATTCCCAGAGAGAGCCAAGAAGCTCTTGTGGGTGGATATTAGGAATCACCTTTTGAAGTTAATAACCTAGGATTTTTTAATGTGTACTCCTTTCCTACACTGTATGGGAAGTTTAACCATAGCCACAGTATCTAAGACAGCACAGTCCATGAGGGCCATGCAAGGACTCCTGAACAAATGCAAGCAAACACACGGTAGAGCATTTCCTCTGCGAGGCCTTACACCCACGAAGACACAGCCTGTTGACAGAAGAACTGTAGTAAGCATGCTTGGTAAAGGAAGCTGCTGAGGGAGTGCTCCCTTTGAGAGGATCTGTGGGTGGGATGGAATCGGAAAGGCTGCCAGGCTACCCTGTGACTCAGAGAGGGAACTCCCACCTACATGGGGGGAATTCAGAGCCAACAGGCAGAAAAGCTGAAGCACAAATTGTGGGTGGCTGAACTGGCTTCTGTCACACCCTGTACTAGTAGAGCCTGATGAGAGCCCTTGCTTGTTATCATCCCTATCTTTGTCCTGAAATCTGAACCAAAATTAATAGTTTTTATTTTTGCAAAGGGGCTGACAAAACAGTATCTCTTCACCCTAATGACTAAGAGATGCAAAGTAACCTCTTGGCCTTGGTTTGGGAAAGTTAAGAGCAGGTTAAATTATCTGTTGCTATTACACATACTTTCATCTATTTAGTTTGTGATGCATTTTGAGGGGATGGCTTTTTTTTTTTTTTTAATCAAGGCTCATACATTTCCAACATACTATTTTTAAATTTCTCATCTGCCCATTTACTTTGATTTTCAAATTCTTTCTTTCCTTTCTCATTTGAATAACAAATCCCAAATAACAAATTTAAACTGCTATTTATAAAATGCAGTGGGTGAATTGGGGCTTTTGCTGATTACAGTTAAAAATTTACCCAGTTTTGAACCTTATGTTTAACCAGTAACTGTTTCTTTCCTGTTAATCCTATTGTGAATAGAAAACAAACTGCATTGATAAGAAAATCAATAGGGCAAATCTGATTTTATACTGGGAATCCACTAACCTGTAATTTGATGTCTGATTGTTTGTTTTTGACTCTTTTCTGTTTTATTCTTAGTGTTTCCTTCAGGCTTCTTTGAAGCTGCTCACCAGAAATCACATGAATGCCTCATAAAGCCTTAATACCTGAATATTCAGTTCAGCCACTCTGGTGCTGGCAGTCCTCCCAGGCTCAAGACTGCTGAGGGGATGGCCATGTGCAGTGGATCTGGACCGAGGGACGGCCACCACTGCCTGGGCATGGGCTGCCTTCCTCATCCCTGTGCCCTGGAGGAAGAGGGGCTGAAGGATGTACTGGGCCACAGACAAAAACCACAGACAACAACCCAAGTGCTGCCAGCATGGAGGAAGACAGCTGTCTTTTCCCTGCTCTGTGCCCTGCCTGTGGCTGTGCAGGCTAACCAGGGCAGCCCAGCACCAAGGCCCACCACCACTCTGCGAGGTGAGGTGGCCATTTTCCCTGCCGGTGCCCTGACACGAGGCAGGTGTTAGCACAGCCTGTGTGACCCCTCCCTCCAGGCCAGGCAGCTATCTCCCCCTCAGCACCCTACCATGGGGTAGCAGAGCTTGTGAGCGCTACTTGACAGACAGCTGTCAGCATCCTGAGGCACGAATGGGGGTGACCAACCTGAGGGCTCCAGCCTCACCCTGGCACTCCATTTAACCTCACATATGTGCTGTCACCTCCCGCTAAGCTGTGAGGTGCTAGTGATGGTCTCTAGCCCAGTCATTGGCTGTGCCTGCTGTGGTCTTGTTCATCTGCACCTTCACCTACGACTTTCTGCCGTGGCCTCGGACCTTCCTCCTCTCTATGGAGCTGCCTGGTGAGGCTGTTCTTCCAGCCAGCCCCTGACCCTGGGGAGGCAGCGACCGCCTCGGCGGCTACCCCGGAGCCACGGTGCTGCTCGGCGGCAGCTGACTCCACGGGCTGCGGAGGGCGCTGCCTGACGCAGCTGCGCCCAGCCTGAGGCAGCTGGCGGCCCTCCCAGCGGCGCCGGGCCCTCCGCAGTGCCGGGTATGCCAACAAGGCAGCAGGTTGGTGCGTAACTTTGATACCCAAATGTTAAAACCCCACCTAGCCAAAGGCTGTTTTCTGACATTATTTATAGTTTTTTCCTCTCAAGGAGACTATTTGCATGTCAGAATGTTTCTGTGACACAGTAATGCTGCCTTTGCGAAAAGGTTTC